GATTCGTCAGATTGACTGTCTGTGATACGAATGAACCTTCGTCTCTGCCGATTCCTGTGATTCGTTTTGGAGAAAAATTCCTTCACGCATTTTTTTTTTTCCTTTCGCTGACACACACTGTAATTTCTATATATGCCTGCGATTCAAGAGTAAATTTATATTTCTGATACAGATTGAATAAACGTTTACTGTTAACATTCCTCGCCTTCCACTCGATTGTCTTGAATGAAACCATTTCCAAATAGGCGTAAAATTAATTGAAAAATCTTAAAATACTGAACAATAAATCAGCAACAATTTTATTTAAACGCTACATATTTTCCCTATATAGAAGCAATGATTTTTGATGATAATAAATTAACGCGGAAATGGCATAAATGTCGAATAGATATCGTGGAAATGATTCTCAATCGAATATGGGATAGTTTTTCAAGGTAAAAATAATATCAGATCATCAGAGCACTGATTCCACAAATTAAATCATGATTTTCACATCCATTAAATACAGTGCGTCCCTTTTGCAAAAATCGGCAAGAGCCAATATAGCTCATGTTCTCGGACACGGACTTATGTATTGTTTTATAAATTTTACAAATATACCAACAGTGTCTCGATGTAGAAGAATAGTTTAGTCTTCCTTTATAATATTTGACTTGTATAGTCTCCAATCATAATTACTGTCGAGTATAGTTCTTGAGTCCAAGCAAAAAATTGAAAAAAAGAGCTTGAAAGCTGCACTAATGTTTCAGCCGGGTACCGAAAAAGGAGACGTTACTTTTCGGGAAGAGCAGATGGCTTTATTTTTAAAAATTATGTAAATTTTTCATATACTGTACATGCAAAACATTCGATCTCTTTTTCCCTCCAACACTTGATCGTAAAACAACACTGTTACTCCGAATCGTTAAGTTCATATGAAACTGGCCAAAACATTTTGTTTTAATTTACAGCATTGCTTCTCATTATAAAATAGTAGTACTGTATACATATATATATATATGCTTCTGAGCAAAGACCTTTATTTATATCAAAATGGAGAGGTGAGAAGGATAGGTATTGGTGTTTTGATATCTTTTATTAGTACCATTTCGTATTATTACATAATGTAATGATAGTGTTATTAATGGAGGAAGACTGGTCCAGATCGGGAATTCTTTCCCTCTCAAATTCAAGTAAGTAAATTGTTCACCGCCCCCAAAAACCTTCTCATCTGGCTCAGCATAAATGTTGTCGGTCTGGGACAACATGAACAGTCCCAAGGTTTGAAAGTGGACTTGACAGTCACCCTTTCGGCCCAAGCAGTACGGAGGGTAACCTTTGGCATGCCGACCAGCCTTTTCATGCCGACGGATTTGTTAATTCGTCAGTCCACGAATAAATTTCATTGAGAACTCCCGAATTGTATGTTTCTTTGAAATACTGTACCCCGGCCCTGAAGTCGGGGTCGTGCCACATTTGATACTCCACAGTCCCATCGGAATGGGTTTCCGAAAACAGGAACCCGTCGAGCGGGATACGCTCTTGAACTGGGTCGTACACGAGGAAATTTCCGATTTCTTCTTTGAATGTCGCTTCTCCGGTCCCGACGAAAATCATCGGATTCGACGGGGAATGCTCAAGTACCTTTTTGGAAATAAGTACCCCATTCAGCCATGTTATTTTTTTTATTTCTCTAATTTATTTTCTTTCTTTGAAAAACGACTCAGTATGTCCCGTTGTTCCTTTATACAGTATTGCAACAATAAGAACAAATTTCCGACGGTGATAGAGTAGAAAAAGGTGGCTTGGATATGAAATTTTGATCAGCAGGTAAATTATTTCAACAGAACGCAGTCAGAATTTTCAGGGATGCAGATATCTCGGAAAAAGTTTTTCATTTTAAAAGGTGAACGAAATCAAGACGTAAAATCAAATTAAAAATCATTTTTAAGGAATTTTACTGTTTCTTTCGATCATCATCGCAATGAATTCTTGCAGCACGAGAACAGCGATCGAAAATGGAACGTAACGAAGTCTTCATTTGTACATGATGTATATGTATAATATTCATAGCTCATCTCGCCGATTGCAAAAGAGTGAATACAGTTCATTTTTGCATTTCTTCACAGAGACCTTCAAGAGCCTCCTTGTCGAAGCAGAAAATGAAGGGGTGCAAAAATACCCGCATTAATTGCTTCTATTTTTTGTTTGAGAGATTTCACAGATTTTCATTGAATTTCCACCTCCCATTTACCAGTTCAGCTCTTCTCTATAAGTATCGAACGCAATAGGAACATTTTCAAAGATGAATGAAGTTCAGATTATACCTGGTTAATATTGCTGGCGAATAAAATTTCCCAGTCATCAAGTTACAGCAGTAGAGAGAATGGAAATTACTTGAAAATCTACACAATCCTCCTGTGGTGGTTGAGAACTATGAATTTTTCGCCATGATAACGTACTTTCTTTGTCATCGTGTCGTCCGTAGATCATCCTGAACTTTCTTTTATATTCTCAAATTTTCATTAATCAGAATTAGCGATAAATTCTCAAAATTGGGTGAATGAAACCATTTCTGTAATACCCAGATAACCCAACACGTCAGCTCCTCGGATCTTGACTCTCCCATATTTTTACTGAGAGTAAATGACTAAAAAAAAACGACGAAAATAATATTGTAATAAAAATAGAATCGTGCTCACTTTGAGTCCGTTGACACTGACGTAAAAGCCATCTTCTGTCTCGACGAGATTGAATTCCGTTCCTTGACCGTTAGTTAATTCAGCTGCGCAAGAAATTATTAAAATTCCGATGCATATTTGTTTCCACCGAGACCAGCGCGGTGGCATGTTATTTTCTCGCTTTTCTGGCCAATGGTTTTCGCCTGTCAATATAGATCCCATCGACGTGTTATCGCTCACACTTCTCAACGACGACACACTTCAATATTCACTCCCTAACCCATATACGAGTGTAACGTAAACAGTTTCTGCTGAGAACCGCGGCACGCGTGCAACAGAAGTGAAATCGAAGGATATGATTGCATAATATTCACCCGTGAATTCATAATTAGCGATAAAGTTATCTGTAGGAAACGTTCAAAGGGCTTGCTTTATTTTGAAAGCGG